AGTCAGCTGAACTAGACTCTGCAAAATTCATTTAGTTCTTGTGTTGCCGCAGACACATCTATAGTACCTGACTTCATTCAAAACACTCAATTTCAGACTTGACTTTCAGCAGATGTGTGCCCCCACCAGTTTCTAATATCCCAGACTTCATTCAAAATATTCCCAGTTTCAGACTTGACCTTTTGTAAATGTATATCCACACAGACTTCTGTGGTATCAAACTTATTAAAAATAATACTAGACTTTTAGACTTTATTCAGTCCTAGCATGGCCAAACATTTCTATTGTACCTGACTTCATTCAAAATATTCCCATCTTCAGACATTATTCAATCCTTTTATGGCTGCTTGAGTTTAATCCTGTGATTCTCAAACTGTTTTGTCATGAGCCTTGATAAAATCCCATCTAAGATCATTTATAGGAATGCAGAGCAATAATAAAAGAACGGAGAAAGTGAACATATTGACAAGAAATAAAACAAGGAAAAACAAAGCTCATAATACAAGACATCCAAAGCAAGTGATGCAGATGAGTTTTGCATTCAAGAGGTAAACCTGGGCTCTTATCAGAAAAAATGAAAAATAAACTGCAGAAAACATCACATTTCTATTTGTTAACCACATGATTTAAATATGAAATGACACAGATTGTGTGTGATTTGTTTAAAGGACGAGTTGCTCCTTCATCACAATTATCATAATTGCAAAGTTAATCAAATAACACTGAGCAAGTAAAGAAAAAGAAAAAAAGAGGGACAGACAGAAGAAAGAACTAAAGGTCTGAATGAAAAGTTTCCAGAAAGACTTGAAATTTAGAAGTAAAATCTGAGAATGAAACACACACAGCATCAACACAACAAGGTGTTCAGTGTTTATTGGCTCAGTTTATTGGTGTCACGGTTTGATGCCTGCATGAGCTCTGATTTATAATCACTTCTGTTTTGCATCTGAGATAAGTTTGAATAAGTCATTTTCAGTTGTTTTGACTGACAGCGTCTTTTAATCAAATGGACTCAAATGGACCAGGTGCTGCTCTCCCCTGAGGGCGGCAAAGCAGGTATATAAGACGTTTCATTGCTCAGCACGCTGAATGAATCTCCTGTCAGTTACGTTAAATCTTCTGAATCAGCCTCAGCAGGAACAGCTCACTGGAAACAGGTACAATCCTCATTCATTAATCTATTTATTGATCTATTTATTTATGAGTGTCTGTTATGCAGCTGCAGCAGTGACATGAAGTCAAACCTGTAAAGATTAAATCGATCAAACTTGCAGTTCGTCACCACAATACTTTAAATACTCCTCTTTATTACATGTTTAAACACTGTTTACATTAATTAACTGTAGACATGAAATACCTGCTGAGTCAATGTTGTTTAAACTTTTAACACAACAGACACAAAGAGAAGAAAATATTTAATGTTACAAATTTAACTGCATGATTTAAATATTAATTGTGAATAATAAGGTTAAGACGCAGCAGTACTATGTATTGTATGTATTATGGTTAAAATGATTATTTACTGTACATAATTACCTGATGCATTTACCTAAAATATCAAGATTAAAACATCACATTAATATTTTTCAAGTCTAAATTATTTAGCATAATAAATATTAAGGTTAAAACCCCACCCTATAATTTATTATAGAAATTTACCTTTTTTCCCCAAATACCAAGGTTAAAACTGCACAATATTGTTTTTTGAATTAGGTTTAAAAAAAAAAAAAAAAAAAAAAACTACAGTAAATTTATATTATATAAATCTCTCTAACAAATATAAATATTAAGGTTAAAACCCCTATCATATCATTTATTATCCAAATTTAAGTGACTATTTTTAAAAAAAAAAGAAAAAAAGGTTAAACCCTACAGTAAAATTATATTATACAAATTTAAAAGAGTAATATAAATATGAAATATCAAGACTAAAACCCAACAACATAATAAAAAAAATAGTTGACCAATTTAAATATTAGGTATTGAAGTGCAAACCCTGTGCTAGATTTGTATTATACAAATTAACTAACCAATTTAAATATGAAATACTAAAGTTATGACCCTACAATGTAATTTAGTATATAAACTTAGATGACCAATTCAAGCTATAAATGTTCTGTACAGCCAGACTTATATATATATATATATATATATATATATATATATATATATATATTAGCATCGTTGCCTCGCAGCAAGAAGGGCGCCGGTTCACATCCCAGTGAGGACACCCAGGATCTTTCTGCGTGGAGTTTACATGTTCTCCCCGTGCAGCGTGGGTTCTCTCCGGGTCCTCAGGCTTCCTCCGCAAGTTCGAAAACATGTTGAGATTAATTGGTGATTCTAAATTGTCCGTAGGTGTGAATGTGAGTGTGCTTGGTTGTCTGTCTCTAAGTGTAGCCCTGTGATAGATGGAGACCTGTCCAGGGTGTCCCCTGCCTTCACCCTGAACACCTGGTCTAAGAGGTTTAAACATCAGCATTTGTCTGTAAATGCTGGTAAGGTTTTGGTTCACTGCTCATTATTTATTATTACTGATGATGATGCTAACTAAGATGTCTTCTCAGTGTCTCAGCTCAGTCAGTCATGAAGACACGTGAACTGATCGTCCTGCTGCTGCTCTCAGGTCTGTAAACTGTAAATCCAACAACAGAAAGACAAACTGCAGAAACAGTCTGAAGGTTCTGAGCTGCTTTTGAATAAGTCCACAGAGTCCTAATTGTAAATCTGTCCACAGTATCCTCAGACCAACACCTTTCTTCTGTGGTCATAGGCGGGTTTTTAAAGATGTTTAAATAGATTCTCAGACATTTTTTAAAGACATGAACTGTGTACATAAAATCATCTAACAGTGTCTGTAGTCAAATTTATCTCTAAAAATGTCCTCAGAGATTTTCAAGGTGTCCACAAAGCTGGATAGGTGATTTTAAAGTAATGTCCAAAAAAGTTTTCCTCAGTGAATATGTGGAAACTGAAGTCCATAAAGTCCACAGATGTTTTCAGTGTCTGAGTGTGTAGATTGTTTTAAATGTGTCCACAGAAGATGTAAATATCTTCCAGATGCTCACATTGTGCGCAGAATGTTTTACACGTTTTTAAAGATGTCTACAGAAGTTGTCAGAGTTGTCCAGTGTCCAAAGAATAATGCCAGATGGTTTTAAATGTCCTTAAAGCACGTTAAAGTAACATGTTAACGTCGTCAGATATTTTTAAAGATGTTACAGATGCTTTTAAAGACAGTGTCCACAGTTTAATTACAGGAAAAGAAACATTTTAAAGACATTTTTCAGACCATCTTTCTGTTCAGGTTAACACGCCTGTGCAGGTCTGATTTGCTGCTTTCCTGATGCTGAAGGGTTGTTGGAGGCTGATTGGACAGACTGTCTCCTGTGTCGTCTCTCAGGTTCTGTCCCGGATTGCGACCTCCAGCCTCATGGCACCATTACTCAGTTCCATTTTGTCAATCTGAAGAAGAACTGGACCGAAGCTCAGCGTTACTGTAGGGAAAAGTTCATCGACCTTGCCAACATCCAGAGCCAAGCCTCCAACACCGAGGCCAGGCAGGTGGCAACAGGATACCAATACGTCTGGATCGGACTCTACAATGGCGCCTGGAAATGGTCTCAGGAGGGCACAAAGGTCGAAAGCTTTGTTCTTTATCAGGCCGCGGGCAACTGGGGGTCCAAGGGGTGTGCGGCGCTGAGAGTAGACGGACGCTGGAAGGACGAAGGCTGTGAGACTCAGCGTCGCTTCATATGTTACAGTAAGTCTGTTTGCATCATCTGCTGACTTCAACACAAAGGACTACACTGGCCACCTGAGCGGCCCCGAATGGACCCCCCAACCATAGTTTTCACACACGATAGTTTTATCTGCAAATAGAGTTAGTTTAGTTTTCATAGGCAGTGCTGAAAGAAGAATTTGAGTTTAACTGCAACATACAAATACGTTACTGCTAGTAAACATCCAGCAAAGTCCCAGTGAAGTGAAGCATCATCAGCATGTGTTTCAATATGAAACATGAGAATCTGAGGAGTTTTAGTATTTCAGGTTCTAGTCTTTATTTACTCAGAAAATATGAAACATGAGCCCAAACAATCACCGAATCTATTGTGGAAAACATAATTTAATCCATTTGTGTTCCTTTATATTTGGAATTGTTGTCCAGTGCCTGAATTCTTGTGTTTTCCATTTCCATCATGACGTGATGCAGAAGAAGCACACATTTCTGCATCAAAAATTCACGAGAATTTCAGAAAATATGTGTTTGATCCTCAAATTCTTTGCGGGGACCTTCAGACTCTTCTGTTAACGTGTCTCCTAATATTCAGAGGAAATCTACAGACTAAAGCTTTCATTTCGCTCCCTTTGTGGACATTCATTGTTGTTATACGCCTTTTCTAGTCTGCTAAGAGACTCCGTTTCATACATGTACAGCAGCTCACATCTACAGATTTACACATGCAAACTGTAGTGGAGTCGCCACAAGGACACAACTTTTGGCTGCATGCACACATGGATTAAGGGGATGACAAGACGAAGAAGAAGAAGTGTAGGAAGAAAAAGAAGAACTTAAATGATAAAGCACTTTTGAAATCAAGGGTTTACAAAGTGTTTTGACAGACAATTTAGTCTGCTCCTAAGAGTTTTGTTATTATAAATGCACTCGACACATTTAAATATAAAAGGTAGGACTCTATAATGTTATTATTGTTCTGTCGATGCGAGACTTCTGCGTACCTCTGCAAGAGGCAAATGTTTGCAGTGGAGCCTCCAAACCGACTCCAGCAGCCTACAAAAGTAGTATACTAGCTAGAGCTGTCTGTGTCCAGGGCTGCCAAGGTGGATCAGTGGTTAGCACTGTTGCCTCGGAGCAAGAAGGTCGCCGGTTCGTGTCCCAGTGGGGGCACTGGGATCCTTCTGCGTGGAGTTCATATGTTCTCCCCGTGCAGCGTGGGTTCTCTCCGGGTCCTCCGGCTTCCTCCGCAAGTCCAAAAACATGTTGAGGTTAATTGGTGATTCTAAATTGTCTGTAGGTGTGAATGTGAGTGTGCTTGGTTGTCTGTCTCTAAGTGTAGCCCTGTGATAAACTGGAGACCTGTCCAGGGTGTCCCCTGCCTTTGCCTTAAGTCAGCTGGGATAGACTCCCACGACCCTAATGAGGATTAAGCGGTGTATAGATGATGGATGGATGGATGGGTGTCTGCGTCCACAGAGAGTAAAATCAAGGTCTATGACTTGTGTTGAAATTTCCCACGGATTCAAGAAGCTCAGTGTGATGTAGGTTTCACCATCTCCTGCCAGAGTTCACAGACTGGGTCCGTGTGGTGGCTATGAGGGCAACAGTGCACATGTGCAGAATATGTAGATGTGACCTTCTGCAAAATGTTGAAGTCCGTGTTCATCCACAGGGGCTGGAATCAAGGTATAAAACCGATGTTATACATTCTGTTGAGGGTCCACCAGGATCCACATGACGTATATTCATCTTCCCAAGTCCACTTACAGGCCAGAATCTGGGTCCATGTGGTGACCTTGCTGTGAGGGCAGCACTGCACGTGCAAAATACATAGATAGGACCTTCTGCGAATGTATGGAAAGTATAAGAAGTACAATGACAACATCTACTGTCAGTAGTGTCTGCAGGGAGAATAATCGAGGTCTAACGCTGCCCGACTGAGTCTGATCTTCTGTCTTTCAGCTGCAGACCACAAGTATGTTGTGGTGCAGCAGCAGATGAACTGGACAGACGCTCAGACCTTCTGCAGGAAGAATCACGTAGATCTGAGCAGCATCAGGAGTCACCAGGAACGCTACAGCATGACCCAACAGTTGCTGTCATCGGTGGCAAACACAATTGAGAAAGACGCCTGGATTGGTTTGTACAGAGACAAGTGGGAGTGGTCAGATGGGAAGGAACAGCCCTACAGGCAGTGGAGCATCCTGTCTCACTCGTTATCAAACTGCATCACAATAGGCTCGCACACGGGAATCTGGAGCAGCAAACCCTGCGAGGAAAAACGTTCCTTCCTGTGTTACTCACGTGAGTGTTCCTTCAGGTTCTGCAGACTCTGATGTGGGAGAAAGTCTGATTAACTTCTTCTTCTTCTGCAGTCGTCAAACCTTCAGCAGTGAGTTTGGTGAAGGTTCGGCTGATCGAAGGTTCTGCAGACCTGTCCGACCCGACGGTGCAAGAATCCATCCTGCAGCAGGTCAGAGGTCTCATGACTCAACAGCTTCATTCACCCAGTCGCTGTCTCCATGCAGACTCAGCTTGAACTTTTTTGTTGGAAAAATATTCTGAGAAAGCGCTAATATTTATGGCGTCAAGTTTTCTTTTGTTTCCAGAATGTTCTTAAAGGTTGAATAACTGAAGATGTAATAACTGAAGATGAAAATGTTTGGGGATAACATTGCCAGAACATTGTGCTCAAAATGTTCTCAAAACTGAATGTTACATCGAGAACGTTCTTCCTGTGTTATCATGTAACATCGTGGGATCGTTGTATAGATTCTATAATGTGTTCATGGACAACATCCCCAAAACATTCTCAGAACGTTGCAGACGAAATGATCACATTACAGGAACATCTTATAAAGAACGATGTGTCATCTAAGGTCTTGATAACGTTCTATGAATGTTGATGAAAATACTGATAAAAAGGGATATCTGAAAAAGATAATACAACTAATGTTTGATGTTTTAACAGGTCAAAAAGAAAAAACATTGTGTTTCTCAAAATAAAATACAATAAGTGAAATATAAAAAAGAAAGCGTGTACGCTGACTCTGTTCTCACAGAGGAAAACATGAGAGAACCTGCAGCCACATTCACCTGACGTTTCCTGAAATCAGTCTCTGCAGCTCCATCAGGATTAAACTCTTGATAATCAATCAGAGCGATCGATCACGATCCTGTTAAAGCTGTTAACTGTGTTTCAGCTGAAGCAGCAGCTGGTGGACAGAGGGATCACAGAGGAGGTGAAGCTGAGGTGGAAGAAACAGCCTGACGGGGAGGTTTTCCACAGAGAGGACGAGGAGACAGCGCCACCTGCTGACCATCACCAGGAAGACAGCTGCAAAGCACTTTAGAGCTTTATCTGTTGCTGAGTTACATTCAGAAAAAGCTTTACAGCATAGAACATAAAGATGTAAGAACTGAGGAACCAATGCAGGAGTTCAGGAGAAGTAGTAGCAGAGTAGTAAAGAGACTAAAGTATCTGATTAAGACTTTATATTAGATAAGATGAGTTGTGTTTGCTCTGAATATGATTAAAATGTGAGAGTCTCTCAATCAGTTTGGTTTTGTATGTTGATGATTTAGTTTGCATATTATAGTTTGAGACTTTAAACTTTTGGACACTTCTGTAACTTCAGAACATCTGTTGACCAAGAAACACAATAAAGCCTTTTAAGTCTGAATTTTACATGAGATCCGGTGTATTTACTTATTTTTATTTATTTATATGGTTTTTTTTTACAGGTTTTTAATGCTTAATGTAAGATTTTAATGTGTAAAAACAACAAAATAACCTAAAATACATATATATTTAAAAAAATAAACTTGAATTTACCAGGTTGAAATAAACTGGAATTACCCTTTAAGACTTCATGTGTTCATAATCTTGTATTTAACCTTTTCCTTAAAATGTTTTATGCTCCAAGTATCAAGACTGTCATTAGTCTGCTGTTTACAGCTGTTATCAACTCTTATTTCAGAGTTTTCTCTCTTTAAATCTGTTTATAAGTGGCCACGTTAATCATGGAGTTATAATTACATAATATTATCAAATCCTAATTTTATTTTATTTTTTCTGATCTTTTTCAAGTCTTTTGTTATAAATACATAGTGAGTTTAGTTTAGTCTCATTGTTTTTGTTTGTGTGACTTGATAAGCTTCACACTTCATTACATGCTTCAATAACTTTAATCACTAAGTGGATCATCAGCTGCCTCTGAGTTCTTCAGGGGCCTGGAGAGTCCTGGAGGTTTTGAGGTGTGTGTACCAGGACTGCAGCGAGGGCTTGGTCCTGGAGGAAGGAGGTTTCTTGTGAGTCAGCAGAGTAAAAGGAGTCGTCGCTGTCTGACTCCTCAGAGCCGGGTCGGTCCTGGTACGTCATGTCTGCTTCACTGACAGCAGCCACAGTGGGAAAACGCACCTTCAATTGTTTGAATGCTTCCAGGTGATCAATAAATTAACACCATTGATTATTGATCTGATCAGAGTCCTACCTGAGCTCAGAGTCTTCGTCTGTTCTGTTGACTGGGCTGTTTGTTCGGCATGTTGCCGTGGAGATCCTCCTATTCGAGTGTGTCAAGTTCAGAGCAGCAGAACACAACTGTTCATCGTCAGAGGAGTCTCTGAGGGGAAACAGCAGAGGGTTGTGTGTCGCTTTGTGTCTCTATGATTTTGTTTTGTGACACCTTTCTAGCAATTTTGTATATTTTGTCTCATTTTTATGTCAAGGGTTGTTATGTGTCCCTCTGTAACAGTTTCGTGTCTCTTTGTGGTTGTTTTGTGTCTTTTGTAGTTGTCGTGTGTCTCTTCTCTAATCATTTTGTCCATCTTTTAGTCCTCTAGCATCATTTTTGTCATTTTGCTCCTCCTATAGTAGTTTTGTACCTTTGTGTTCTTCAGTAGTTGTTTTGCATATTTTCATAGTTGTTTGGTGTCACTCTTGTTTGGTTCTACTCTGTAATGGTTTTGTGTCTCTTTGTGGTTATCTTGTATCTTTTTTGCATTTGTTTTGTGCATTTTTGATGTTCTTTTGTGCATCTTTTAGTCATTTTGTGCATCCTTTAGTCCTCTAGGCTCTGTTTTTTTTGTCATTTTGTTGTTATTTTGTGTCGTCTATTGTAGTGTGTGCCTCTCTGTGTGTGAATAATTCCTGCAGATTTCACCTGTGAGTGAATGCATCTTGTTGATCTGAATTTCAGTGTTTTAAACGCTAATCAGACACCAGTTTATCACTACGGCAACTTCAGGTACAGGATTGTGGATGTGAAGTAGCTCTGAGCTGCTGCTTCATAAATGTGACGTGTTCTCATAAGATCATGTTCCTGAACATCATAAATATTGTGTTTCAGTGCACTCCTCTGCAGTTGATACTCACAGCTCCTCCTCCTCATCTTTCTGGAAGGTCAGAGGTCGCGTGCAGACGACACACGTGTTGTCCAAACTGAGGAAACATGGCCGACAGTACAGACCTGCAGACACAACACAGTAAAGACTGATGAGAACTGCAGCAAAACTATGCCAAAGCCACCAAACAGTGCTGGCTAAACCCTGTAGTAGTTTTGTAGTTTCTGTCTTTTTTCAACTGGTGTTGTGTCTTTTTGTGTCTCTGTCTGGTCCAGGCTTTGTGTGTTTTAATGCGAAGTGTGGTTAAATAAGGGAGGCACACTCCTGACTTCAAATCACAGCAACAATTAATTTAATGAGTCTATGTTAAAATATCGTAGATAAACATCATGTAAACTCTAAATGTTTCATATGAAAATGAAGCTCAATCTTCTGAACTTTTTTCATGTGGAGTCCAGCCTTTTAAAATGTTTATCTTCTTCATGGTTGTTCTGTTTTCATAACGGTGCAGGACTTCATATTGCAGTGAAAAATGAGCCACAGTGAGGAAAAATGAAAACACCAGAAACTGTTTGGGCTTCAGAGGGTTAAAGCAGAGCTGGTTTCAGTCGGTGTTTACCTGAACACTGTGGGACGTCACAGGTGATGGTGTTGTCATCATCCGGCTTCACCTGCTCACCACAGGACAGACAGGTGACAGGCGGTGACAGCAGGCGAGACAGGTGAGCTCCTCCAGGTAACCTGACACACACAGACCTGATCCATGAAATCAGTCAGAGCTGGTATAGCTGGTGTTATACGCCACTTGGTGTTTTGTCTAATCTTGTCTGCATGACAGAACGTCGTCACTTTCACGGATCAATGAAGCAAAAATGTTCCATGTTCCCTGTCTGAAAAGTCTGTACAAAGAGCTCTGAGGTGTTAAATTCTCCTCCTGTCTCTCTACATGTTTGTACCGTGTCAGCAGAGTCTGAATTCGACTCCGTACTCCTCCTCGATCGACTCTGATCCTGAACACCGACCTCCTCAGAGCTTCGCCCACTGACCTCCTCTGATCCAGGATCTGTTGGTGGAGGAACTGGATTCTCTCCTGGAGAACAATAAGAACACACCCCGCCACACGTTCATCTAAGGTTTGAATGTTCTCATCTTACAGGCTGTGAATAACATCGCCACTGCCGAGGAGCCTCTGAGCAATAACAGAGCGACACCACGACGTTTTATCTAAGTTGGCATTGAAGGTGCAGAGTTTCAGTGTTTGTGATGCAGAAACAAAACAGTGTGTTAATGTGACGGTGAACTGAGGAGTTGCAACGACAAACAACAGTGTGTGTGTGTGTGTGTGTGTGTGTGTGTGTGTGTCTGCGCGCGTGTGTGTGTGTGTGTGTATACCAGTTCTCTCTCTGGATGAAATGAAGCACAGATGATTCTTCTGCAGCGCCCCATCAATCCTCCGGTGAGAGAGACGAGCAGAGCCAGACCCAGCAGAAACCCTGCAGAACCAGAGCAGAACCAGTCACACCAACAGAACCAGCAGAACCTAGAACACCAGCAAAAGGCTGCCTGCTCCTAGATTTCAAACTGGACCAACATGACAGTTCATCTGGAAACTTTCACTCATTTTACAAAACCAGTTCACTGACAGTTTAGTTAGTTTTCCTCCAGTAGCAGCCAGACGCCTCTGATTTGCATAAAGTAGCCGAGACATCACCTTAATGCAAATCAGAAGCAGGTAATGCAACATCCATCCATTATCTATACACCGCTTAATCCTCACTACGGTTGCTGGGGGCTGGAGTCTATCACAGCTGACTCAGGGTGAAGGCAGGGGACACCCTGGACAGGTCACCAGTCTATCACAGGGCTACACTTAGAGACAGACAACCAAGCAGACTCACATTCACGGACAATTTAGAATCACCAATTAACCTCAGCATGTTTTTGGACTGTGTGGGAGGAAGCCGGAGAACCCGGAGAGAACCCACGCTGCACGGGGAGAACATGTAAACTCCACGCAGAAAGATCTCGGGCGTCCTCACCGAGACGCAAACCGGTGACCTTCTTACTGTGAGGCGATGGTGCTAACCACCGAGCCTCCTTGCAGAAATGCAACATGATTTGCTAATTGTATTGCTTCAAACTGCAAGTTCAATTTGAAATCAATGAATTGTTCAGCCTGCATGTGAATTGTGTCCAGGAGTTCTGGTGGATGAGTTGGTCGATCTGCTCTCATCAGTTATAAGATAAGTTTTGGCATGAAAATTTAGTGGCAAACTGGGCCAAGCCACAGGAATTGCTGACCATTACATCACGGGCGCAGGTAGTTGCACATGTTTGCAATTCAAGATGGCGGACAGTGTGACCTCAAGCCCTGTGAAAACTCAACTCATAGGTAAGGTAAGGTAAAATAGCAACTTAATTCACCTCAAATTACCAGAAAAAATATGCAAAACCATCACAGAAAGACACAAAATCAGCACAAAGAGATGCTGCTGCTAGTAGCAGCTGTAGATGTTACTTTATAATCAAATTAGATGAGATGAGATGAGATGAGATGAGATGAGATGAGATGAGATGAGATGAGATGAGATGAGAATAGATTAGATTAGATTAGATTAGATTAATAATCGGCAGCTAGAATCTCTCAGAGCAGGGAGACAGAAACACTTTCTTCATCTTCTGATAAACTGACAATGATTTTAATTGGTTGGTTGAAGAGTTGGTACAATTTTAATCCACCAGAATTTTCTGTGGTTCTGTGTTCTCTCTCTTTAGTTCTCCACAGACCTCCATCAAATGAACAGGTGATGTGTGATGGCATACCGAGGATGAAGCTCGTCGTGGTGTTGGGCTCTGACGGCTGCAGCAGACACTTCCTGCTGACCACTGTGATGTTTCCTCCTTGCAGGACCTTGAAGGAAGCCAGCAGGTCTCTGTAGATGTCTGAAGCGTAACCTGATCCATTCACCAGAACCTCAAACGTCACCGGGGCTGTCAGACACATGGTCGTCACGTTTACAGCCGATAGCATATTGATTCGTTGATGTTAACATGTGACGTGTTGTCTCACCTCTGGCCACAATGTCCCCTTTCAACTGGTGGCTTATCTGGTCCAGAATCCAGAACAACAGGAAGTCTAGCCCCACCAGCAGGCAGCCAATCAGTAGGTGTCTGAGGACAGAGACCACGCCCACCAGCACTGCACGCCGCTCTCTGTAGGTCAGCTGGAATGACACTGTAGTTGCACAAACCGTGAAATCAGCCAACACTGGACAATTAGGCACAAGATGTGTGTTTGTGGAGAATACTAATGAGATTACCGCACGCACACACACACACACACACACACACACACATGTACTAACGAGGTGTGATGTAGATCTTGGCTTCTCTGCTTGTGATTGGCAGGACTGAGGCCCCGCCCCTCGAGGTCACCTGTCGGTCGAGCTCTTCAAACTGAGCCGTGATGTAATTATTATCAAAGTTGAGGTCATGGAGATACCTACGTCTGTAATGCACCGCCCTGCATGACAACACACACACACATAAACACAACAACACACATTAACCCAACAAACACACACCACAACAGACACAAACACAATGACGCACAAACATAAAAACAGTAAGACAAACATATAAACAAATGCAAACACACAACAGACACACAAACATAACAAACAAACTCCGCTAAATTAACAGCAGCGTGACAACATGTCTTCTGATAGCGTGTTCATTAGCATGTTAAATCCCAGATGCTAACATTACGATAATGCATTTAGCACGCTAACTTTACGACGCTAACATGCTCAGGTGTATATGGTGACATGTACACAGCTCAATAAAACAACAGCTAGCTAACTTTAGTAATGGAAACATTAGTGTATTATGTTTGAGAATGCTAACGAGCTAACATGGAGCACTAAATTAGGATGGTAGAATGACAACATTAAACATAAAAAGTATTTTAGCAAGTGAAGCTAACTGGCGCTAAGTCCTGACCTCAGGAAGGACCAGGCGAGCAGCACCAGGCTCAGGTAGGTCAGCGGCTCGCTCAGCTTCTCAAACACCCGCAGATCTGCTGAAAGCTCCTTCATGATGTCCTGAGACACCTGCTGCAGCGAGCGGCTGCTGTTAGCATCCACTTCCAGGTTCACTGACGCTGTGATGTTGAACTCAAATTCCCGCTTCAGCTTCTGAAATGCTGCGATGGTCGCTGGATGAAGAGAGTCAGAGTCAGAGCAGGCAGCAGGGTGAAGGCTGCTGCTGAAATATAATGAAGAGAAGAACTCACGATCTGCCAGACGTTCCTTCAGGTGTTCTGCGATGTAGGAGGGAATGATGCAGAACAGCTCACCGGCTTAAGGACAAAGTTTAGAGGAGTTTACATTCAAGGATTATTGGGGATTTTTTTTTTTCAGTAAATCTCTTTCTAAACTTTATTCTTATTGCTTATTCATTTCAAAATGATACACAAAGAAAGAAACACAAAAGCCTGGATTCCCCTTTTAATTGCTGTAACATTCAGTAGTACAGCCTTTCGTTTTGTTGTTGAGTTCGTTAAATTAACTCCCAACTAGCACAGAACGTTCCTACAACAGCTAACATCCCCTACAACTTCCAATACATTTTTATAGAAAATGTTTCAATCAAATGTTCAAAGAATGTTTTAGGAATTTTATTTTCATTACCAGTAATGTTCCTTTAAATTAATATAATAAAATAAGTCTTTATTCATCCCACACTGGGGGAAATTTGCAGTTGTGTTCTAAAGTCGATAGTCAGAAGACACTGTCTGGAACACAGATTCTGTTCTATGGTAAGAAAAGAAAAACGTTCTCAAACCAACATTAAAAAAAATGTTTTCCAGATGTTATCGAAGCCTCAGATGATTTTGATAAAATGATCGTGTAAAGTCATATATTAATGAAGGTGGAATATTCTGTAATGTTCTCAGGATGTTTTGGGGATGTTGTGTAGAGACACATTATAGAAAATTCTTCGACAAAACATTTACCTAATGACTTTTAAAAAATGTTTTTGAGACTTCAGATGACAGAACGTTTTTATAAGAATATTCTGCCCGCAATGTTCTTAGGATGTTTTGGGGATGTTGTTGATGGAGCATATTATGGTTATCTTTATCTATACAACGTTCCTACAATGTTAGATGAAAACAAAAGAAGAATGTACAACATTCAGTTTTGAGAACATTAGGGCATAATAGTCCAAGAAACATTTTTAAAATGTCTTTAGTGATCCTGCCTTCAAGAAGAACATTCTGAGAACTAAAAGAAAACTTCCTGCTGAAAATATCTGTAGAACTTTTCAGAACTTTCTTCGAATATTTTTGGAACAAAATAATTCTAGCTGTGGACTGTAAGAAGTTGACCAAACAGATGTTTTAAATAAGGACATTCAAAATGATAATTATAATCATGAACATAATTAATGATGATTACCGCGGGCGATGCTGCAGAGCGGCAGGAAGGCGTCCACGATGTCACACAGGAAGTCGAAGTCGCCCAGCAGGTCAGAGCAGTCGCTGCGGGCCTCGGCAAACACCGACCGACACTTCCTGTACGGGGAGCCCAGCTTGGAGTTGCAGACGTCTCCGATGTCGACCAGGAAGTGCAGGACGTTCCTCAGAGTGCGAGCTGCAGGGTCAGAGGTGTGATGTTAGTATTCAGTGTACGAATCAGCAGCAACAAAAGCTTCTCCTACAGCTCAATGTGCTCCATTTATGTTCAGAGAGGTTCTGATCTGATATCAAAGATCAGCACCAGGGCTGAGGAAAGCATTTCTTTTATTTTTACTTTCTTTCAATTTAACCTTTATTTTACCAGGTAAGTTAAACGAGAGCTGTTTCTCATTTTCAATAACGACCTGGTTTTAACTGACTGGAACTTCCACTGTCATACAGGTGTCGTTCAAGAGGAGCACAGTTGGTGGCAGAGCGCCAAGGATGATAATTTACAATAATCAATGATCTGCAGCATTATCAGGCAATAATGAATTAATTGATTATACACATCTGAAACAGTGGATATTTGTCTGGGGGTGAGGATTTACGAACTAATGGAAAAACACTGAGGATTGTTTTTCTGTTTCTGTGGGTGGCTAATAGTCTGTGAGAATGTGAAGGAGTTCTTAGAGAGATACAGTTCTACCTCAGAGAGAGATACGCTGCTGACACAGGAAGCTACACTAACACCATAGAGAGCTACACTCCTGTGACGGATAAGAGGGAAATTACTGATACAGTCCTACACAAGGTGAAAGAGAAACATGAAGCAATCCTCCCATGAGCAGACAAAGACAGACTGTCCAGAACAGAGAGAACTGGCCCCTTCATAGGTAGCGTGAAAGGAAAAATATAAATACTGACAGTCCTTTTACATCCTCCTCCATAACCCTGTGTTGTGTGAGGTTCTGTGCACTCCTGAATAAAGAGACGCTGACTTCAGCATCCTCGTTTTGAGAGCGGTGATTCTTTTTCACAAACAGGAACACTGTAGCACTAATTCTGTCCTCGTCGTGCGCTGGTTAGAGGTGATAGAGAGACATTCTTTTATTTTGATGATGATGAACAAGGTCATTCTCTTTTCTTTTGATGGTCACCAGACACTTTGATTCCCACCGTATACCGGAATACTAATAAACGTCTTCTTCTTCTTCTTCAACAGAGGTCATCAACCTCTCTGTTTTTGGAGCTCGTGGAGCCACAGTGCTCTCGACCCTGAAACATTAAATTTCAGACAGTGTCCTATTGAGCTTCACAACAAGGTTCCTCAACATCTACAGAACATTAAGGAACAGACTAGAAGCATAAATGCAGCTTTTTCTTAATGCACTGCAGAGATATTCTGCTGTAAAACAGACATGCTGGGCTGATTTTAATAACTTTAATGTACATGAAGTGTGTGTTATCAGAGAAATGGTATCAGATTGAGACTCTGCATCTGCAGATACTAAATATGAAAGGACTCAGAGGGGACCTGGACACTCCTGTTCATGATTGTTTTCATCAGAATTTTGAACCTGTACACATCTTAATACACAATGTTCTCGGAGGAACAGGGCTCAACAGTAACTTTTTAAATTGACTGCACTGGTGTGCCTCATTTTTTCTTTTCAATGTGAATAAGTCCTCTTAAGTCTTACCTTTTATGTCACTTTGTATGATGAAAGGTGCAGATAAATGTTTTATTGATCTGGAAGTTAAAGTCAGTCTT